AGTCACAAGGTCCCACTATCCACCCACTAGAATGAGTATAATAAAAAAAAAACACAGACAATACCAAGCATTCATGTGGATGTGGAGAAATATTCATACATTGCTGGTAGGAATGTAAAAGATGAAACGGTTATGGCCACTACGAAAAACAAATGGACGGCTTAAAAAATATGTAAATAAAGGTATATATGTTTACCTTTATTTACATGACTCAGCAACTCCACCCCCAAGCTCCCCAAGAGACGTGAAAACATATATCTACACAAAGACAGCGAATAGCAGCATTATTCATAATAACTCCCAAATGGAAACAACCCAAATGTCCATCAATGATCAACGGGTAAACAAAATATGGTATATCCATAAATCCAAAAGTAATCCAACCCAACTGATCTAATATCGACTAAATTCCAATACCATGGAATCATATTTGGCAATGAAACAGAACAAACTGCCAATGCATGCTATAACGTAGATTAACCTGAAAAAGGTTATGCTCATTGAAAGGAGCCAGATGTAAAGGACTGTATACTGTATTATTCCGTTTGCATGAAATATACAGAACGGGCAAATCTTTAGAGAAAGGAATCAGGTGGCCTGGGCCTGGGTTGGGGCTGGGCGTCGGTTAGGGTCTGACTGCAAACGGGCAAGAGCAAACTTTTTGGAGTGATGGAACTATTTTAAAACTTGACTGTGGTGACGGCCGCACGACTTCATACATTTGCTGAAGATCATTTTATTATATACTTAGAATGAATGGATTTCCTGGTATGTCAATGATACCTCACTGAAACAGAACAACAAGACAACATGTACCCATGAATGAAATGTAAGGCAGGATGTGGTAAGTGCAAGAAAATGGGATGCAAGAGGCATCACTGGAGCTCGGTCTCAGAGAAAAGTAGAAGGTTGACAGGTGTCAGGTGAAGGCAAGGGGACCCCGAGGGGAGAGAACGTCGTGAGCAGACGTGTCGAGGTGGGGGAGGCTGGGGTCTGTTTGGGGAACCCCGCACCATGCAGTTTGCCAAAGCACAGAGGTGAGGATGGGTGGGGTCAGCAAGGCCTAGAGAACAGCCTCACTTTCTGGCCCTGCGTCAGCTCCTAACCTAAGCTACTTCCTCTCCTTGTTCCAGATCCGTGGTTGTGGGTTTAGTGTTGATCTGGCTATTTTGGAATCGCTCCAGTGATAGCTACACCTCCAGAAGGTCTGGGGTACCTATGGGGTGGGGCCCGGGAGCTGGCATTTTGAAATCTCTCCACGAGATTCAGATGCTGTTTAAAACGAATGGGCAGTTTTCCCCAACGAGTCTGAGCAGCAGTTCAGCTGGACATATGCCGGCCTCTGCGCCTCACAGAACCACACCTGGCCACTTCCTCACCACCGGGAGAGAGCAAAGGGTCTCCTTTTAGGCATTTTCTGTGAATGGAAAGTATGAGGCATGGAGGGCAAAATTCTAGAGCAGTGTTTTTCGACCCTGTTTTCGTTATAACCCGCCCTTTCGAGAGCCTTTATAAACATTTCTAAAACTTCCATGAAATTTTAATGCCACAGACGTACTATATCTATTTATATATTGTATATCTATGCTTTATACGTAAGTTTTTGTACCCCTCCCCCTCCCACAAGAAGCGACTTTCCCTCCACTAGGAGTGACATTGCCCCCACCGAGAAGGCACGCTCGGGGGTCCTATGGCGAAGAGAACGAGAAGATGACCCCAACCCACCGAGAATAATGCCCGCATCTTGTGCATCTGCAAGTGAAATTCCTTTAGCTGAATTTTTCCAAATTAGTTGGAAACGAGGCAGTGAGTTCAGGCTTCTTGGCCCCTCCAGGAGAAACCCAAATGGCTCTGGAGGCCAGAGAATAATAGTGCCAGGCTAGACAAGAACAATTATGGAAATGAGATGGTTTTATAGCTCATAAAAGCTAGGAGCCAGGAGAGACACACCGCTTGGAGAAACAGCACAGACAAGCAGGTCTAAGACAGTATTAGAAATAGTATCGAATGTAAAAGAAAAATACATTCTCTGACAAGACTGCCATCTCCAGCTTCTAGAACAAAGGTATTTGCCTCTGCAGTTGGATACACAGAGCGGTACATTCTTCGCCTCGGTAAGAAAGTGGCTACTGCCTAACTTGGGGCCAGAGAGCTGACAGCATGTTGCTCTGTGCACTAGAGACCTGGGGTCATAGCTTGGTTCTTGAGCAGGAAGCTGGGTGTGTGATGAACGGCCAGTGGATACATCCCCTGGAGAGGCTGGAGCCCGATCGTGTTAACTGGGTCACATTATCTCCCTACGACTCCATGCTTAGAAAATAAACTGTGTTGAAAGAGACACCTTCACGGAAGCCGAGAACACCAGCACCAAGGCAAGGACATGTGCTTTCTGCATCTCACTGCGCATCTTGAGCAAAGGCTCCCTTTCACACTCAGCTTCACCCGGCTCTGGCCCTGCAGTTACAGCCCCTGCACCCCTCCTCACGTTGACACGTCATCCACCGCAGCACGCCTGGACAGGTCAGAAAACAGGAGGTGGTCTTGCAAATGCAAGCCTCGGACATGCGGTCCCAATACTGCCCCAGGCACACTGCTGCCTCGGCTTGGCACCCAGGAGCAAACTGATCCAGTCAGCTGCTGGTGTCCGGGGAAACTGGCTTTGTCACGATGACGGTCCCAAGCATTTGCACCAGCAGAGAAAAGCCCTGACATGAGTGATCTCGGCAGTTAAGGAGCCAAGATGAAGCCGTCAGAAATCGGAAGGCTGTTGGTTTTTTTATTTTGATCCCCAAACTGTAAAAGCCAGGGTAAGAGATTAGTTGTAACATCCAACTTCTTCACATTGTGGTAGGAACTTCTTCACAGTGTGGTAGGAACTTACCATACTTGATCATGAATTCTCACAACTTTCCAGCCGCCAAGAAGGCATCGTTCTCTCTATTTTCCAAAGGAAACTAAAGATCAGGATAGTTGCATATCTTTCCTAAGGTCACACAGCTAGGGAGTGGCAGAGGCAGGATTTCAATCCAGGACTGTCTGGCTTCTAAGCTCCTGATACGTCTTAGCAGAATCACAGCTGGCATCGTAGAGACATTTCTTAAGTATAATTCTGACCATTCTCCTACAAGACATAGCACGTCCTGACGGAAAACATCTTATGTAAGGCTCACCTTTACTCACACCGGGACACCTGTTCTCTAAACTAGCAGTCCCCAACCTTTGTGGCACCAGGGACCAGTACTCCTATGAGAACTAACGCCTGATGATCTGAGGCGGAGCTGAGGCAGAGATGCTAGTGCTGGGGAGCGGCTGTAGACACAGATGAAGCTTCGCTGGCTCACCTGCTGCTCACCTCCTGCTGTGTGGCCCGGTTCCTAATAGGCCACGGACCGGTACTGGTCCATGGCATGGTGGTTGGGGACCCCTGCTCTAAAAGAATCACCTCCCCGTATCATTTCTGCCTGGAGCTCCACCTCTGAGAAGCAGCTGCGGCCACATGTAGATCTGACCTTTATTCTGTTGGCAGATAAAAGTTTTTCAGCTTTGTGATTGCAGCCATCACTCTGGATCCTCACTGAGGAAATAAGGGGCTGGTTTGCCGAGTACAGGGTAGAGAGGTGCATACGCTCATGCTGGAAGCATTTGCATAAACACGAGAAAAGTCCCTGCCTTAAATCTAGGGCCAAATTACAAACTGAAGACATTGCAGGAAGAGATCTCTTCGGCCATGCTTGTTTCTTCCTTGGAAGCAGCTCTCTCTGGACTAAGCTGTGAATCCGTAAAGAGAAGAGAAACAAACTGGGAATTAGAGGAACCCAGCTTCTTTGAAGAGGAAAACCACAAACAAAGTGAGTGGTTTTATTGAAGATACAGAAGATATTGGTCATTTTGACGGAGGTAGGTCGAGACAGTTCAATATCCCCAGCTCCCTAGTTAAAAAAAAAAAAAAGAAAAAAAATCTATGCAGGCTCTAAAAGGAAGACCTGCCTGTATCATAAGGGGAGAACCTAATAAAAACACCAACTACCACACGATAATCTAATAACCTGTCACGATAAATACCACGGCACCTGGGAACTCAAAAGATGGGAGAGAACAGAGCTGGAGCACGAGCGTGAAGTGCGAACTCTAAACAAACGAACAGCTGCGACGTCTCCCACGAAACAAAGCAGGGCAGAGTCTAAAGAGCCGCTAGAAACACCACAAATCAACGGTATTGGCTGGGAAACCAGATGGCAGCAAGGCACAGTGATTTTTCTCCCAGGAATCGAATGTGAGCTTCGTGTCCCAAAAGCGTCCACGTGGGATCCCGCCTCGGTAACACATTCCGTGCTGGTCCTGGAGGATCAGTAGGCTTGAGCTGGCCCCCCTTCTCGGAGGGAGTGCACGCATTTCGAAACAGCCCGAAATCCTACAGCATGGCACGAAGTTTCCCTTACACCAACGCTCTGAAAGTGAAATGTATCGTATTAAACTTGTGGACAGTTCCTTATCCTTTTCGTTAAGAAACGGACCCACTGCTGGAGGCACTGCTTCGGAGTCTGACAAAACTGATCACCCGCTGTTACTACCGCTGGGGACCCAGAGGTCCCCAGACTGTCGTTTCTCCCACCCAGACACAGGGTAAAGGCGCTGTGTTAGTAATAATACCGCAACGTTTATATAGAGGAAGTCACATGACTTATTGCCACACAGGTCACTTTGCTTCGAAGCCTTCTTTTTCATGTAGAATACATCCTTTCAAATGTCCTTCTGGAGGCCGGACTGGAAGACCTGTGCCTACACTGCCACAGGCTGAGAAATAATGGCCGGGAACTCCGATCCCAAGGGACCGAGGAGCAGGGACTTCTGTGTCCCCACAAAGCAAATTCCTGGAGTCGCTGGAGAGGGATCGCGCCCCATGTGGATCACAGCCCTGTGGACCGGAAGAATGGCCTCAGCCTTAAGTGTGTGAGTCTCGAGCTGTTCCCGGCTAGCTCCAACCTGCTCCTAAGACGCACAGGCTCCAGGGGACACTGTTTGGCTTCTTTTTGCAACAGGAGCATACGGCAGGGGGCGAGGAAGTCCTTGTTGGTGGCAAAGTACAGGCTCCAGTACGGGTAGCACTGAAATTGCCCGAGAGCAGTTTAGAAGTCTCAGACCTGGCCCCAGACCCACTGAGTCAGAGTCTGCATTGTAACGAGATCCCCAGGTGCTGTGCGATTTCAAGTCAGAGAAACACTGCCTCGGGCTTCGTGCTTTATAATCCCCTAACCTCCTCTCCTTGGCCTCACGAGCGGCCTCCTTAAGTAAAGTGCAAGGAAGGTTCGCTTATTCAGTCGGTAGAAAGTCTACGTACCCTGACTCGCTGTCTAATGATGTTTGGGGAGGAAGGCATATAAACACTCTCACAAATCCACTCCACCGATAAGCTCCACCGGCTTTCCCTTGGTGCATCCCCACTCGTCAACTCTTCCGTGTGCTCTGCCACCATCTGTGCCCCGGCCATCACTGTCCCGTCCCCTGAGCCACCACGTCACCCATGCACGACCACATGGCAACTAAAGAGATAGTTGGAGGGCAGGAGGCATTACTCAGCATCTTCCTACAGTTCCCCACGGCACCGGACTCGGGACCCGGGCCTGCGAGGTCCTGCCTGCGCGCGAAGCTCAGGTCCTACTGCAATCCCCCGAGCTCATCCTGTCAACCACCTCGCCCTCCTTCCCGTTTCTCAGTCAGGCCGAGCACACCTTCATGGTGATGTGCTGCTCTCTGCCTGGGATAATCTTATCCCAGATCAGGACAAGGCTGTCTCCTCACCATATGTCGGTCTTAGCGCAGGTGTCCCCTCCTGAGCGAGGCTCTCCTTAAACGAGCGCTGCCATCCCTTCCCGACTGGTCACCATGGCAATCCCCTCAACGGTCCTCACTGCACTCAGGTACCTGATCTGGAAGTAGCTTATCCTGTGTTCTTAGGCTGTTCTGATACCCACCCCCCCCTCCAGCAAGCAAGCTGACACCTAAGACCTTCTGTCTCTTTGCTGACTGCTGGAGCCCAGAAGAGAAACTGGCATAAAACAGTAACTTCACACAGGTGTCCCCCGCAATCCCAAAGGAGAGTGCGCCTACAAAACCTTTCGTAAGCCGCAATGGCGTGAAGTGAAGAAGCGATATTATCGTTAATTTATATGGAAAACACGTTGAGCATTCCTAGATCCAAATCATACCAAATGGGCTTAACTACGTCCAGTTTTAAACTACACGTAACACCCTTATAAGCTTTCTTAGGCTTTTCTGATACCTGAGGACACGTCCTGCTAACGAATGCATAGAATGATTGGAGATAAAACACAGATGCTCACAGAGTTCAGAGCTGTGGGCTGGATGCTGAGGGGCTGAGTGTCGTGCCCGGGGAGGGGGCTTGGTGCACACTGGTCGGGTACATGCTGCCTCTATGATGGCTCATGCGAAGCAAACTCAGAACACTGATTTTGCTTTTCGCTTTTTTCATAAAAGCAAAAACCCTCTTCAGATTGCTTTCGGTTTGTGAAAACAGATGCTCCTTGGCTTACAATGGGATTACATCCTGATAAACCCATTCTAAGCTGAAAATGTCCTAAAGGCGAAAATGCATTTGATACACCGAACCCACCAAACATCATAGCTTAACCCAGCTGGTTTCTACTGAACGTGTATCATTTTCATACCATTATAAAGTAGAAAAATCATAAGCTGAACCATCATAAATTGGGGACCATCAGTACTAACATGGGTCGTTCGTAAAAGTGAAGTGGCCTAACTTACACTTTCGAAAAGTGAGGGTTGCCTATATTTACTTATTGGATGGGTGGGTGGGTGGATGGATGGAAGGACGGATGGACGGACAGACGGACGAATGGACAGATGGATGGACGGACGGACGAGTGGGTGGGTGAATAGGTTGACATATGTATGGATGGATGGACAGGTGAATAGGTCGATGGGTGGGTGGGTAGGTGGGTGGGTGGGTGGATGGATGGAAGGACGGATGGACGGACAGACGGACGAATGGACAGATGGATGGACGGACGGACGAGTGGGGGGGTGAATAGGTTGACACATGTATGGATGGATGGACAGGTGAATAGGTCGATGGGTGGGTGGGTAGGTGGGTGGGTGGGTGGATGGATGGAAGGACGGATGGACGGACAGACGGACGAATGGACAGATGGATGGACGGACGGACGAGTGGGGGGGTGAATAGGTTGACACATGTATGGATGGATGGACAGGTGAATAGGTCGATGGGTGGGTGGGTAGGTGGGTGGGTGGGTGGATGGATGGAAGGACGGATGGACGGACAGACGGACGAATGGACAGATGGATGGACGGACGGACGAGTGGGGGGGTGAATAGGTTGACACATGTATGGATGGATGGACAGGTGAATAGGTCGATGGGTGGGTGGGTAGGTGGGTGGGTGGGTGGATGGATGGAAGGACGGATGGACGGACAGACGGACGAATGGACAGATGGATGGACGGACGGACGAGTGGGGGGGTGAATAGGTTGACACATGTATGGATGGATGGACAGGTGAATAGGTCGATGGGTGGGTGGGTAGGTGGGTGGGTGGGTGGATGGATGGAAGGACGGATGGACGGACAGACGGACGAATGGACAGATGGATGGACGGACGGACGAGTGGGGGGGTGAATAGGTTGACACATGTATGGATGGATGGACAGGTGAATAGGTCGATGGGTGGGTGGGTAGGTGGGTGGGTGGGTGGATGGATGGAAGGACGGATGGACGGACAGACGGACGAATGGACAGATGGATGGACGGACGGACGAGTGGGGGGGTGAATAGGTTGACACATGTATGGATGGATGGACAGGTGAATAGGTCGATGGGTGGGTGGGTAGGTGGGTGGGTGGGTGGATGGATGGAAGGACGGATGGACGGACAGACGGACGAATGGACAGATGGATGGACGGACGGACGAGTGGGGGGGTGAATAGGTTGACACATGTATGGATGGATGGACAGGTGAATAGGTCGATGGGTGGGTGGGTAGGTGGGTGGGTGGGTGGATGGATGGAAGGACGGATGGACGGACAGACGGACGAATGGACAGATGGATGGACGGACGGACGAGTGGGGGGGTGAATAGGTTGACACATGTATGGATGGATGGACAGGTGAATAGGTCGATGGGTGGGTGGGTAGGTGGGTGGGTGGGTGGATGGATGGAAGGACGGATGGACGGACAGACGGACGAATGGACAGATGGATGGACGGACGGACGAGTGGGGGGGTGAATAGGTTGACACATGTATGGATGGATGGACAGGTGAATAGGTCGATGGGTGGGTGGGTAGGTGGGTGGGTGGGTGGATGGATGGAAGGACGGATGGACGGACAGACGGACGAATGGACAGATGGATGGACGGACGGACGAGTGGGGGGGTGAATAGGTTGACACATGTATGGATGGATGGACAGGTGAATAGGTCGATGGGTGGGTGGGTAGGTGGGTGGGTGGGTGGATGGATGGAAGGACGGATGGACGGACAGACGGACGAATGGACAGATGGATGGACGGACGGACGAGTGGGGGGGTGAATAGGTTGACACATGTATGGATGGATGGACAGGTGAATAGGTCGATGGGTGGGTGGGTAGGTGGGTGGGTGGGTGGATGGATGGAAGGACGGATGGACGGACAGACGGACGAATGGACAGATGGATGGACGGACGGACGAGTGGGGGGGTGAATAGGTTGACACATGTATGGATGGATGGACAGGTGAATAGGTCGATGGGTGGGTGGGTAGGTGGGTGGGTGGGTGGATGGATGGAAGGACGGATGGACGGACAGACGGACGAATGGACAGATGGATGGACGGACGGACGAGTGGGGGGGTGAATAGGTTGACACATGTATGGATGGATGGACAGGTGAATAGGTCGATGGGTGGGTGGGTAGGTGGGTGGGTGGGTGGATGGATGGAAGGACGGATGGACGGACAGACGGACGAATGGACAGATGGATGGACGGACGGACGAGTGGGGGGGTGAATAGGTTGACACATGTATGGATGGATGGACAGGTGAATAGGTCGATGGGTGGGTGGGTAGGTGGGTGGGTGGGTGGATGGATGGAAGGACGGATGGACGGACAGACGGACGAATGGACAGATGGATGGACGGACGGACGAGTGGGGGGGTGAATAGGTTGACACATGTATGGATGGATGGACAGGTGAATAGGTCGATGGGTGGGTGGGTAGGTGGGTGGGTGGGTGGATGGATGGAAGGACGGATGGACGGACAGACGGACGAATGGACAGATGGATGGACGGACGGACGAGTGGGGGGGTGAATAGGTTGACACATGTATGGATGGATGGACAGGTGAATAGGTCGATGGGTGGGTGGGTAGGTGGGTGGGTGGGTGGATGGATGGAAGGACGGATGGACGGACAGACGGACGAATGGACAGATGGATGGACGGACGGACGAGTGGGGGGGTGAATAGGTTGACACATGTATGGATGGATGGACAGGTGAATAGGTCGATGGGTGGGTGGGTAGGTGGGTGGGTGGGTGGATGGATGGAAGGACGGATGGACGGACAGACGGACGAATGGACAGATGGATGGACGGACGGACGAGTGGGGGGGTGAATAGGTTGACACATGTATGGATGGATGGACAGGTGAATAGGTCGATGGGTGGGTGGGTAGGTGGGTGGGTGGGTGGATGGATGGAAGGACGGATGGACGGACAGACGGACGAATGGACAGATGGATGGACGGACGGACGAGTGGGGGGGTGAATAGGTTGACACATGTATGGATGGATGGACAGGTGAATAGGTCGATGGGTGGGTGGGTAGGTGGGTGGGTGGGTGGATGGATGGAAGGACGGATGGACGGACAGACGGACGAATGGACAGATGGATGGACGGACGGACGAGTGGGGGGGTGAATAGGTTGACACATGTATGGATGGATGGACAGGTGAATAGGTCGATGGGTGGGTGGGTAGGTGGGTGGGTGGGTGGATGGATGGAAGGACGGATGGACGGACAGACGGACGAATGGACAGATGGATGGACGGACGGACGAGTGGGGGGGTGAATAGGTTGACACATGTATGGATGGATGGACAGGTGAATAGGTCGATGGGTGGGTGGGTAGGTGGGTGGGTGGGTGGATGGATGGAAGGACGGATGGACGGACAGACGGACGAATGGACAGATGGATGGACGGACGGACGAGTGGGGGGGTGAATAGGTTGACACATGTATGGATGGATGGACAGGTGAATAGGTCGATGGGTGGGTGGGTAGGTGGGTGGGTGGGTGGATGGATGGAAGGACGGATGGACGGACAGACGGACGAATGGACAGATGGATGGACGGACGGACGAGTGGGGGGGTGAATAGGTTGACACATGTATGGATGGATGGACAGGTGAATAGGTCGATGGGTGGGTGGGTAGGTGGGTGGGTGGGTGGATGGATGGAAGGACGGATGGACGGACAGACGGACGAATGGACAGATGGATGGACGGACGGACGAGTGGGGGGGTGAATAGGTTGACACATGTATGGATGGATGGACAGGTGAATAGGTCGATGGGTGGGTGGGTAGGTGGGTGGGTGGGTGGATGGATGGAAGGACGGATGGACGGACAGACGGACGAATGGACAGATGGATGGACGGACGGACGAGTGGGGGGGTGAATAGGTTGACACATGTATGGA